TATATATGTCTGTCAACTCACAAACACTCCTTGGCCTGACGCCATCACTATACTTGTCCTGTATATGATCTCCGACTCTGAACTCTACTCATACTGTCCTGGTACTGTTTGTAACAGACTAAAATTATCAGTTATAGTCATGGAAAATTTGTAATGATTGAGGTTAATAATGTGTAGGAAGAGGAATTAAAATGTAAAGTTTCAAATTATTAGGAAGATCTACATGACTTCAGTGTTTGGTAATATATGTTGCCGTGTTAAGTCCCTTTGTGTTTGTCATGTGAGAGACTCATTGGTAATATTTTGGTCTAAGAAAGATTGTTTCATAAAATATTTTCTCCCGTAAAATAATGTTTTCTTAAGAATTGTCAGTGTCTCGTTCCGTAGTACTGGACAGCCGAAAGGGGCTGTTAGGAAATCCATTTAAATTATAATTTATTTATTAATGGTCGTATAATAAACAATTGTATTAACAACATAAACATTAAGAAACAAGTATTTACCTCATCAGAGAAGTAGGGTGTACAGACAGACTCTATAACAAACACTAAACTTTATCAAAAGACTTAAGACAAACTTTTCATTATCACCTCATAGAATTGTATTAAGGTCTTGAGGCGTAGAGAGACTTAACAATTATTATTAATCTGAACGACTATAGACGGTAGTTAGTTCTGAGACAGTTAGGTTATACATTATCCCCTGTCTAACAGACAGTAATACTTATATAAATGTGCACTATATAATTACTACACCCACGGTGAGTAAACTATGAGCCAGTGTCTACCATTTTCTCTTTAATACTGAAGTTAGTGATGTATGGTAATGAATCTTCTTGTCTAACAGATGACCTCTTGGCATCTGACCTATAGCCCTGTGACCTGGCTATGTCAACAGTAAGGACCAGACCCCTGGCCTGACTCTACCCTCAGTCCTACACTCTCTCTCGCTCATGATACACGTGAGGCTCCTGAACCTCAGATACATATCAGCTTCATATTTTTATTAACGCTCACAGCTCAGAGCGTTAATTACGGTGATGTCATAATTTAACCCATAAACATTTATTTATGCTACTTTCAAGGAACCTGGCAGACTCACCTTAAAGAACATTCAGCAGTGATTGTTAAAAGTAAATGGAAGGATTCAACTCAACATAGTAAAGCTATAGAGCTCCACATAATAAAGCTATTATACTCCATATAGTTTGTTTAGCTTAAGCTATTCCTTAAAGGTGAAATTAATCTCCACAATCAGATTTTTAATTAAAGTTAACCTAAGAAGACAAAGGTAGATTATTGTTATGAATGTTCAGTTTAAGTTGGCCCTCAGAGAGTGAAGGTTGACTATACACAGGACGAGCTTCTGTGTGTTTAGACAGGATCTGTCCCACCCGGGTCGGAGGTGGGGTACAACTCAGCATTAGTAAGGATGGTGGTGGTAGCTGCAGGGGTAGTACCAGCGGCTATCCTCTATAGTACCAATAAGACTGGTTGTAGTGTTGGTTGTACTGGTTGTAGTACCAGGTGGGCCGTGGTCTAGGTCTGGGACCAAACTCCACTTGTGGTCGGTAATTACTGTTGGGGTTGTGTACTATCGCTCCCTGTAGTGAAAAAGGAAACACCACATTAGCCACAATACTGTATGTAAGACGACATATAATACAATAATAATATAGTACCAAATAATAATATTTTAAACAGTGATTTATTCTGTAATGTTGTTATATTTTGTCTCCTCTATGGTCGCCATCTTCCTGACCTCAAAACTTAATATTCCATAAATGCAGAAACAAACGCGCCTGGTATACAACATACACAAACACGCCTGGTATACAACAGACACAAACACGCCTGGTATACAACAGACACAAACACGCCTGGTATACAACAGACACAAACGCGCCTGGTATACAACAGACACAAACACGCCTGGTATACAACAGACACAAACACGCCTGGTATACAACAGACACAAACACGCCTGGTATACAACAGACACAAAACGCTCCTGGTATACAACAGACACAAACACGCCTGGTATACAACAGACACAAACACGCCTGGTATACAACAGACACAAACACGCCTGGTATACAACAGACACAAACACGCCTGGTATACAACAGACACTAAACACAAATATTTAACACAGGACTAACCACACATATACTTTACTATTATTAAAGTTAAGTAATTAACACAATATCCGTCCATATAAACTGGGTAACACTATTAATGAGTTGAGTCAGAGTGTTGTAAAATTCTGTCCCTTTCCTCATGTTAGTCAAGATCTTAACAAAACAGAATAAATTTGTGTAAAACTGCTACTTTTTAACAACTCAAGGTAAAATATCTCCTCTCAGCTAAAATTAAAAGTAAAACTTTAAAGATAATATCAATCAATTTTGTCCTCAAAGTAAAAATAATCTAAAGCAAGAAATTTTAACATTACCGCGCTGGGGAACCTCGCATCAACTCCAATGCCAGATAAATAAGAAGCCTCTTCAAATGCCTGCCGGACGTGTCTGTTTCCATGGCCTCTTGACAACCCCAAGTTCTCTGTGCAGAAAGGCATCACAACACAATGTTTTAAAATAAGAATCTTCAGCGTAGTACAGATAACATAGTATTCGTCTTCATTTTACTGCATGGCCTAATATAAGTAACTACTGTAGTACACGTATCACAACATGAAGATCATAATGTTTTCTTACAGCTCTAGAATTGTGATAAGTCCCTACCAGAGTAAGCAGGAGGGGGCGTGTAACAGAGAGCCAGCAGCAACACCCACGTCAGGCAGGTCAGGTAGCCAGCCATCACCTTCACTGTGTCCAGGTAGATAAAGTATATGAGTCAGCTCACTGTGTCCAGGTAGATAAAGTATATGAGTCAGCTCACTGTGTCCAGGTAGATAAAGTATATGAGTCAAATCACTATGTCCAGGTAGATAAAGTATATGAATCAGGTCACTGTGTCCAGGTAGATAAAGTATATGAGTCAGCTCACTGTGTCCAGGTAGATAAAGTATATGAGTCAAATCACTGTGTCCAGGTAGATAAAGTATATGAGTCAGCTCACTGTGTCCAGGTAGATAAAGAATATGAGTCAGCTCACTGTGTCCAGGTAGATAAAGTATATGAGTCAGCTCACTGTGTCCAGGTAGATAAAGTATATGAGTCAACTCACTGTGTCCAGGTAGATAAAGTATATGAGTCAACTCGCTGTGTCCAGGTAGACTAAGTATATGAGTCAACTGTGTCCAGATAGATAAAGTATGAGTCAACTCACTGTGTCCAGGTAGATAAAGTATATGAGGCAACTCACTGTGTCCAGGTAGACAAAATATATGAGTCAACTCACTGTGTCCATGTAGATAAAGTATATGAGTCATCTCACTGTGTCCAGGTAGATAAAGTATATGAGTCAACTCACTGTGTCCAGGTAGATAAAGAATATGAGTCAACTCGCTGTCCAGGTAGATAAAGTATGAGTCAGCTCACTGTGTCCAGGTAGATAAAGTATATGAGTCAGCACACTGTGTCCAGGTAGATAAAGTATATGAGTCAGCTCACTGTGTCCAGGTAGATAAAGTATATGAGTCAGCTCACTGTGTCCAGGTAGACAAAGCATATAAGTCAACTCACTGTGTCCAGGTAGATAAACTATATGAGTCAGCTCACTGGGTCTAGGTAGATAGAGTATATGAGTCAGCTCACTGTGTCCAGGTAGATAATGTATATGAGTCAGCACACTTTGTCCAGGTAGATAAAGTATATGAGTCAGCTCACTGGGTCCAGGGAGATAGAGTATATGAGTCAGCTCACTGGGTCCAGGTAGATAGAGTATATGAGTCAGCTCACTGTGTCCAGGTAGATAAAGTATATGAGTCAGCACACTTTGTCCAGGTAGATAAAGTATATGAGTCAGCTCACTGGGTCCAGGGAGATTGAGTATATGAGTCAGCTCATTGGGTCCAGGTAGATAGAGTATACAAGTCAGCACACTGTGTCCAGGTAGATAAAGTATATGAGCCAGCACACTGTGTCCAGGTAGATAAAGTATATGAGTCAGCTCACTGTGTCCAGGTACATAAAGTATATGAGTCAGCTCACTGTGTCCAGGTAGACAAAGTATATGAGTCAGCTCACTGGGTCCAGGGAGATAGAGTATATGAGTCAGCTCATTGGGTCCAGGTAGATAGAGTATACGAGTCAGCACACTGTGTCCAGGTAGATAAAGTATATGAGTCAGCACACTGTGTCCAGGTACATAAAGTATATGAGTCAGCTCACTGTGTCCAGGTAGACAAAGTATATGAGTCAGCTCACTGTGTCCAGGTAGATAAAATATATAAGTCAACTCACTGTGTACAGGTAGACAAAGTATATGAGTCAGCTCACTGTGTCCCGGTAGATAAAGTATATGAGTCGACTCACTGTGTCCAGGTAGATAAAGTATGAGTCAGCTCACTGTGTCCAGTGTCGCGATCCCAATATCCTTTATACCTGGGGAGTGAATCCTACCCCAAGTTGTTAACAAATAAAGGAACAAATAGGGAACACGACAATAATTATCCCCACAAAAACCTACTCAACTAAATGTACTTGAATAAGTATGAACAAGTTGAAGTAAGTAAGTCACAAAAGGGAAGATAATTAATTAATTCAATTTATGTTCTAAAGGGAGTACTGACTAGCAAACAAGAAGTTAAGGGAATAAGTAATTGTATATTAAAATAAGAGTGATGCCGGAAGGGCGAAAATACACCGTTAAGGAGTTAGACCAAACGAATACTACTTAACATAACTATATTACACAGACATACAAAATATATATATACAACAATCCCTACAAAATAGTTATTTCCTACCAAACAGGAGATTCCTTACCACCAGGATCCCTTCCTAGGCCTAACTAAACGTGTCACTAATACCTGATACCCCTAGGGCATTGCAGAAGACTGGACAAGGCACTAGACAAGGGTCAAGGCTGGAGAACGAATGGACACGTCTACCATGTGCCACGGTTTTTCGCTACTGGGGAAGCGCATCTCATATCACGTGATCCAGGACATTTGCTAGATAATTTATATAATTAATTAATACTACTCTTGATTTGGCTTAACAGAGTAACACAATGATGCATATTAATAACATACATAAATATACAATTAACCTAAGTAGCTAAGAACAATAATAATATAATAAGTACAATTAACAAATTATTAATAGCTTGTGTGAAATGGAGGCGTGAACATATGCCTCACGCCATGCGAGTTCCCGAGCGCCACAGGCACGTGACACCAGGTAGATAAAGTATATGAGTCAACTCACTGTGTCCAGGTAGATAAAGCATATGAGTCAGCTCACTGTTTCCAGGTAGATAAAGTATATGAGTCAGCTCACTGTGTCCAGGTAGACAAAGTATATGAGTCAACTTACTGTGTCCAGGTAGATAAAGTATATGAGTCAACTCACTGTGTCCAGGTAGATAGAGTATATGAGTCAGCGCACTGTGTCCAGGTAGATAAAATATATGAGTCAACTCACTGTGTCCAGGTAGACAAAGTATATGAGTCAACTCACTGTGTCCAGGTAGATAAAGTATATGAGTCAGTTCACTGTGTCCAGGTAGATAAAGTATGTGAGTCAGCTCACTGTGTCTAGGTAGATAAAGTATATCAGTCAACTCACTGTGTCCAGGTGGACAAAGTATACGAGTCAGGTCACTGTGTCCAAATTGATAAAGTATATGAGTCAGCTCACTGTATCCACATAGAAAATGTATATGAGTCAGCTCACTGTGTCAAGGTAGATAAAGTATATGAGTCAGCTCACTGTGTCCAGGTAGATAAAGTATATGAGTCAGCTCACTGTGTCCAGGTATATAAAGTATATGAGTCAGCTCACTGTGTCAAGGTAAAAAAAGTATATGAGTCAACTCACTGTGTCCAGGTAGATAAAGTATATGAGTCAACTCACTGTGTCCAGGTAGATAAAGTATATGAGTCAGCTCACTGTGTCCAGGTACATAAAGCATGTGAGTCAGCTCACTGTGTCTAGGTAGATAAAGTATATGAGTCAGCTCACTGTGTCCAGGTAGATAAAGTATGTGAGTCAGCTCACTGTGTCCAGGTAGATAAAGTATATGAGTCAGCTCACTGTGTCCAGGTAGATAAAGTATACGAGTCAACTCACTGTGTCCAGGTAGATAAAGTATATGAATCATCTCTGTGTCCAGGTAGATAAAGTATATGAGTCAGTTCACTGTGTCCAGGTAGACAAAGTATATGAGTCACATCACTGTGTCCAGGTAGATAAAGTATATGAGTCAGCTCACTGTGTCCAGGTAGATAAAGTATATGAGTCAACTCACTGTGTCCAGGTAGATAAAGTATATGAGTCAGCTCACTGTGTCCAGGTTCACAAAGTATATGAGTCAACTCACTGTGTCCAGGTAGATAAAGTATATGAGTCAGTTCACTGTGTCCAGGTAGACAAAGTATATGAGTCAACTCACTGTGTCCAGGTAGATAAAGTATATGAGTCAACTCACTGTGTCCAGGTATATAAAGTATATGAGTCAACTCACTGTGTCCAGGTAGATAAGTATTTGAATCAACTCACTGTGTCCAGGTAGACAAAGTATATGAGTCAACTCACTGTGTCCAGGTAGGTAAAGTATATGAGTCAACGCACTGTGTCCAGGTAGATAAAGTATACGAGTCAACTCACTGTGTCCAGGTAGGCAAAGTATACGAGTCAACTCACTGTGTCCAGGTAGATAAAGTATATGAGTCAACTCACTGTGTCCAGGTAGACAAAGTATATGAGTCAACTCACCTCAAACCAACACACACACCACTGCTCACCCCAACGTCCTCTACCCCTCCGTGACGTCCAACCTCCACCCACCAACATACTACACTCATCCTCATAAACCCAATACTCAGTATCACCCTCACCTACCCACTACACTCACCTCTCAACACCTAGCATATATGACCACCAACACTCAGCCGCTACACACAACAATCAACACACACAACCTTCACCAACCAACACTCAATACTCTTGTGAGCCCTTAAACCTTTCCACGTCACCTGTTCCTTGGTGAGAGTAGTTTTATTTAGGGCGGCCCAACTCGGTTCTTAATTGTTTTGGGGATTACTGGCCACTTCGCCTTTAGGTTATTTCGGCCGAAGATGTTTGTTTGCCGAGTTATTTTCTTTGGACTTCTTCCTTTTGTTCTTTTTACTTTTCAATTGTCATTCTTCTTCTTGGTCTTGTTCTGGCAAATTCTCGTAAACTTCTAAAAACGGTTGATGATATTAATGGTACTAATTCGTTTTGTTCAGTCTTGTTTAATTCTGGCTTCTTTTCTGTGGTCTTCTTGGAGTCTTGATTCTTCTTTTTTACAGTCTTCACTACAAGAAGAGCCTCCTTGTAGCTCAGTTTTATCTTGTTTCGCAGCTTAGCCACCCTACACTACTCCCTCCACTTGGGACACTCCCGGTCGGTGGATGAGTGAGGGCCACCACAAGCTGCGCATTTTTTGGCGGCCGGCGAGCAGTTGGTGTGCTGGTGCCTGGGTGTCCCGCAACTGCAACAGACCTCCCGAGCTCGACACTTCCCCGCCAGATGGCCATACCTTTGGCATTTGTAACACCTTGTTGGTCTTCTTTCATACGGTCTTACTGGGATGTTCTCCTATCCCAGCAATACGGTGCTTGGTAGCTTCTTGGGGTAACCAACCAGTGCAGTTGCACTGGTCAGCTTCCGTACTATTGAGAGCTGGTCTCCGATCAGCTCGGCCAGTTCTTCTTTTTCAAGGTGTTCTATCTCGGTGTGGGAGATGATTCCCAACACCAAGTTATCCTCTGTGCGAGCTTCCACTAGTATCTGGATCCCGTTAATTTCTGTTATGTTGGCTATTTGCTGGGCCTGCCCCCACTCCACGAAGGTGACGATAAGGCCACCACTCACTGGTCTGCGGACGACCCTTGTCACCCACCTCATTCCTAAGGAGTCAGAAAACTTCCTTGGGACAAGGAGGTTTAGTTGCTTGCGCGAAGGGTACAGTCTTACGACCTTTGCCTCGTCATAGGTCAGCATCGTCAGGTTCACGTAGTACCTCGGGAGCAGAGAAGATCTTGCCTCGCCGAGGTGCAGCTCTCAGTCGAGGAGTTCCTCGTGATGGCAGCCTTATATATGTGGACAACCTCACACACTCGTTGCCTTGGCGAACTCTCTGACGCCATGAGTGTACAAGTATATGTTCTTTGACTCTGGTCATAATATGGCCTTAGTGCTCTCGTGTTATTTTCACCAGGTGTTATTTATCTTAGATCTATTGTTTATTTTATCAAGTGAAAGACTCACCAGTAATAGTTTCTCCCATAAAAGAGTTGACAAGATTTAGTCCAAAAGAATTTTGTCTGATGAATTGTCGTTGTCACGTTTCTTAACACTGTACAGCCTCGATGAGTTCTCAAAAAGTATATTGCAATTTAAATATATTTATTTTTATCTGTAAACACAATTGTGTTAATAATATAAACATTAAGATAGAGGAATTAGGGCAATATGAAAGGTAGGTTGTACAAAGGCAGACGTTATATAAAACATCAAACATTATGAACTACTCAATAAGGTTTTCCCGAGACATACAAACCATGTATAAAAAATCAAGGTAATTTTTCCTTTCAAATCATATTAAACACCGATGACCATTCGCCTCCCCACTCAACTCCACCCCTACACACCACCCCACGCATCCTGCTCGCCTTCCCACGCCACTCCACCTCCTACACACCACCCCACGCCTCCTGCTCGCCTCCCCACGCCACTCCACCTCCTACACGCCTCCCTACACCCCCTACACGCCTCCCTTCACGTGCCTCCTCACATACGCGAGGATATAAAAACTTACATTCCAGAGGTGGAACTGATATTTAAGGGAAATGAAGAAGATATATTAAAGAATATCACTATCAGAAAAGAGGATGTTCTTAAGAAGAAAACTAAACTAAAGAAGACAAAATCCCCAGGGCCGGATGAAACTTTCCCTCGAGTTTTGAAAGAGTGTAAGGAACAGATTAGCGTAAATTTATATCCAAAATCATTAGACACGGGAGTTGTGCCAGATTTGTGGAAACAGGCAAATGTAGTACCCATATTCAAAAAGGGAGACAGAGCATCAGCGTCAAATTACCGGTCGATTAGTTTGACGTCAGTAGTGGGGAAAATTCTTGAATCAATAATACCAAATAGCATCCGATCGCATTTAGAAAAAAAAATAATCTACAACTCTCAACATGAATTTTACAAATGGTAAAATCTTGTCTAACAAATCTGCTGTTATTTACTTAGACTTTAGCAAATCTTTTGACAGAGTACCGCATCAGAGGCTTCTGAGAAAAGTTAAGGCTCATGGTATCGAGGGGAAAGTTTTAAATTAGATAAAATCATGGCTCACCGATAGAATACAGAGGGTCAGCGTAGATAGTGTTAAATCTGAGTGGGGCTGTGTAACCAGTGGGGTTTCCCAGGGTCAGTACTAGGCCCACTCTTGTTCATAATCTACATAAACGATCTAAATACTTGGATCAGCAGTAACATAAGCAAATTTGAGAATGACACCAAAAGAGGGCGGCAGATTAGTTCAGGGCAGGTTGCAAATGCACTACAGGAGGATTTAAATGAACTGCAGGAGTGGGCAGAGAAATGACAAATGATATTCAACACCAGCAAGTGCAGCGTACTTAATATTGGAAGAACAAATACTATCAATGTATACAGCCTTAACAACATCAATCTATAGAAGTCGACTTGTGAAAGAGACCTAGGGGTACTTGTAAGCCCGGACCTACGGCCTAGAAAACAGTGTGTCGATGTTCGAAATAAGACAAACAGAGTATTAGGTTTTATATATAGAACTGTAATTAATAATGTAAGAGTGCAGAGGTCTTATTGCAACTATATCTTGCGCTAGTCAGGCCGCACCTCGATTATGCGGCTCAGTTCTGGTGCCCTTATTATAGAATGGATATCAATTCACTAGAGTCGGTGCAGCGAAGAATGACGAAAATGATTCCGGGACTTAGAAACCTTCCATATCAAGATAGATTAAAGAGACTAAACTTGCATTCCCTAGAAAGACGAAGAGTGTGGGGAGATATGATAGAAGTATTTTAGTGGGTGAAAGGAATCAACAAAGGAGATATAGATAAAATTCGTACAATATCCGAGCAGGATAGGACTCGTAGCAACGGATTAAAGTTGGATAAGTTTAGGTTTAGGAGGGAGATAGGAAGGAACTTGTTCACAAATAGGGTGGTGGACGAGTGGAATAAGCTTAGCAACTTTGTAGTAGAGTGCTGGAACGCTGGAAAGTTTTAAAAGGAGGCTCGGTAGATTCATGGATGACCGAGAGTGGTAGTAACTCTCGACAGGAGTTGCCATGCACAGTCCAACCGGCCTATTGCAGACTCCTTATTTTCTTATGTTCTTATGTTATATTAAGGTAGTTTAGATTAGATCAAGTTAGTTGGCGTTAGTTATTTCTCTGTGTCCGCAAAACAACACCCAAATTTAATCCCCAAAAGAGAAGATAATGGTGAGAAGCAGCACGACACATAACACCACTCAATCAAAGTATCACACACTATAATGTTGATGGTGAGAGGCAGCATGACACAACACCACACAATCAAAGTATCACACACTATAATGTTGATGGTGAGAGGCAGCATGACACATAACACCACACAATCAAATTATCACACACTATAATGTTGATGGTGAGAGGCAGCACGACACATAACACCACACAATCAAAGTATCACACACTATAATGTTGATGGTGAGAGGCAGCATGACACATAACACCACACAATCAAAGTATCACACACTATAATGTTGATGGTGAGAGGCAGCATGACACAACACCACACAATCAAAGTATCACTCACTATAATGTTGATGGTGAGAGGCAGCATGACACATAACACCACACAATCAAAGTATCACACACTATAATGTTGATGGTGAGAGGCAGCATGACACAACACCACACAATCAAAGTATCACACACTATAATGTTGATGGTGAGAGGCAGCACGACACATAACACCACACAATCAAAGTATCACACACTATAATGTTGATGGTGAGAGGCAGCACGACACATAACACCACACAATCAAAGTATCACACACTATAATGTTGATGGTGAGAGGCAGCATGACACATAACGCCACACAATCACACATTATAACGTTGTATGAAGAGAATACAGTACTAAGAGTGATGACGTGCCGTCCAGTATGTGAGCTGTGTGTCGCTAAGTAAGACATGTGTTGACACTAACATAACTCACTGTATTAAACGTTTCTCCATTTTTTTACATTAATTCATACATCGTATATAAACTTGTAATCTATAATAAAATTTTTCATCTTAGAAAAAAATGATCCATTAATCATATCGTTTTCCAAGCCTTTATTCAGTCATTATTTTTCTTTATTTAGATTCTTCCAGCTTTTGAAAACAATTTCTCCAGTGAAGAAATGTTTGGTTTTATTTTGCCCCAAAGAATTTGTCCTTTATTTTGGTCACTCTATAATTTGGTAGAGAGATGTTGGTGGAAAGTTATTATGTTCCAATATTGTCTATGTTTTTTCTTCTTATAATTCAAGATGCCGATCACAACTCCGCTTCTACGTACTCGACTGCCTTCACGTGTTTCAGGGATACTAAAACAATTTGTTTTTACTTATATTCCTGTTATAAGTAATTACTTCACACAAATATTAAAATAAACATTCCTTATCTTTCTTAAAGCAGCTTTATAGAAAGCTTTATAATATGGGAATAAATGACACAAAACGTTTGATGAACTTATCATTAAGTGGCTTCGTTGAGTGTCTTGCTGAAGTTAAGGCTCAGATAAGGTCGTTTGATAATTCCTATGGTTCTTTTGATGACCCACAGTAGGTGAAGGTAAACACCACACGATGGTTCTCGTGTGTTTTACATATTGTGTTAGCGACTTATTCCACGTGTAGTCTTATCAATGTTACCCTCCGTGAACACACACCAACTTCACTCCACCTCAGACATAATCACCCACCCATACTCACTACGCCCATCTCCTAACCCTCAGCTTTTACTCTCAGCTTACAATGCCTCCCACACACCCCTCTCAGCACTCAATAAC